CCAAGACCACACCTGACACAAATTTCAAAAATCCACTCTTCAAATGGGCCCATTCAGTGACGAACACGAACTAGTCTGTTCAATTTAATCATCGCTGATTAATGTGGTCCCGTTTGTTTCCATCCAATTACAATCGCAGTAGAACATTTGAGATTTATGGCCAAGCGAAACAAGTTGATTTACACAAGGCTCCTCTGCAACATTACACAACCGATACACGTGTCCGCCAGGAGACCTCTATCACGTGCTTCTGGGGAACTGTGGGATAATAGTGGTCAAGAGGCATCCCCTGGCATACCACATTAGCTCTATGGTTCTCAATTACTGTGATTTGGACCTAGTCTTGTTCAAAGGTGGCAAGCGTTGAAGAATTTTTCCATAAGGTGGCATAGAAGTGGTGTGTGTGCTCTACATTTGTTTGAGTATTTTTGAAGTGTATTGTTTTATATGTAGCCCCCGATTATTTTTTTTATTTGCATGTATTATTTTGTTTTGCATTTAATACAGCAGCTATTGAAGAAGCTAGAGGTTTAATTTAGTTATAAAGTTAACTCCTTTTCACTGTTATTTGGTATCACTGATTTAATTATTCCCCGTAAGGGATTTATTTGTTTGTATATAAATATAATTTGAATAATTAAAACACATATGATACACACACATTATATTTAGCTGTTTCTCCAATATTTACGTTATGGGTGTGTGTTTTAATTTTTTTCATCGAACTATGGCTGAATTATTATAAACATCTTAATGACCTAGGTTCATCGAATGCGGAATCCAAAATAACCTAAATATTCTCGTAACAGAAGAATAATAGTTCTTCTTATTTAAGAAAATCTGTAGAGACATTCTTTAAACAGTGATGGCAATACCCGTATGCCATATGACTGATGTAATATGTAGGCCTATCCTTGGTTTCTAAAAACCTTAAAATACTAAACACGCACACACATGAAACTGACTTTTCTTAATACGCACAATAAATTATCAGAAAACTTGTAGAACTCCGCCTCCACTTGGACTAACATTAGTGACTAGTAGCTACAGTAGTCTTTGGTATTTACCGTAGCATCTTAGCACGTAGTGTATCTCGTACCTTTTATGGTTGCGCTATTTGTATTATTTTGTACATTACATATCCTCCTAAGCCAAGCGCAGTGTCACTCATCGCAGCATTGATTGTAAAAATCAACATTAACCTCTAGCTTGGATGACAAGCAACATATGTAAACATATCCTGATGAGTCAAATCCTCGTCAGATGTCAAGGTTGCTGTTAAAATGGTGAAGTAATGTAGCATTAGATAAACAAAGAGAGTCCAATTGTCGTTACTATGGATTATACTAAATAACTAGTCATATGCATACTTTTGGAATGACTGTCCTTGAATACATCTGAAAAATAAAATGAAGATAGTTAAGCAAGTGAACTATGGAAAAACTAACTGAATTGCTGAAAGGAAATGTCCTACAGCATACAAAAAATCACTCACCATCCTTATACATCATCAAAAGTCCTTACTTTTTAATATTAACCTTGAAAATCCCTTCTAAGTGGCCTTATACAAAATCCAGATTCATACACGGTCAAGTTCAACGGCCACCAGTTATTTCCTCTTCCCTGACTACAAGGAATGTAAACAATGCTGCACCGGTTCCGACAACTAGTAACTGGAGCGCGAAACTGGTTCGGGTGACAACCTGTGACAGGCCGTAACAGTGACCTTGACTTTGACCGCTGAGGAACTGGAACCGCTCCAGATACGTCAGCGAAAGTAACCTGTCTGCTCCGCCTTCTGCTCGACATTCTGACACACTCAGTTGCTGCCGGCGTCCTTACCTCATCTATTGGGTAATGTTTGATAGTACTGTGTCACCGTGCAAGCGGTGCACTTCCCATGTGATCATGAGGGAAAGTCTTCAATATGCAAATCTGTGCCGGTAACAGGTGGGGAATGCTTGAATATGAACATGTTAGGTAAAAAATACCCTCACTGCGACAAATTATTACGGGGTGAAAAACATTTTTTAAACAGATTTTGAAAGCTAACATTCCCTGGTTTAATAGTGTTATGTTTAAGATACCTTTTCTGAGGACGGAATAAAATTCCAGATCCCAAAACGTTGTGAATACTTGTTTTTACTAGTCGGAATGATAAATGTTTCTGTTTCCCTCAAAATCTACTCGCTGGTTATTTCCTGTTCTAAATTATGCTAAGTTAGGTTGTGTTAGAGTAGCCTCCGTATTGTTTATCATCCCTTACTATTGCTAAAAACAAATATTTACATGTATCTAAACTCCACTTAAACAAATAATTGGCTTTTTTATAGTCCTTAGAAACAATGAATAAACAGCAATAAATCCAAACCAAGGCCTAATCTGTTGATGTTTACGATCATATTTTAGCATTTGAAATTAAACGCAATTTATCAGTTCAGTAAACCCCTTTTCAGGAATTCTCTTTTTGGAAAATAAATCGTACTTACCCAAAGCCTTGCAAAACATTCATGCTCTATTCTGATATAATGCGTATTCCAAATTCAGAAACTTCCTCAACCATTGTTCTATCAAGGCCTTACTACAGCCGTATGTCAAGGACATAAGATGGCAGCAATCTGGAGGTCAAAGTCAATTATTGATCAGGCTTGACATAAATCACAGACTTCCAAGGAAAATAACGTACCATCATGCTTGTGTAAACAGAGGATGAGTAACATGTGGGCTTTAACTTAACGGACCTATTGATGCTTTGATATTAGTACTGCGGTCGTCTGAGTCTGCATTAGCTCCATAAAAATATTAACTTATACAATGTTTAAGATGAATTCCTTCTTAATATTCACGTTTGCCAAATGTTCTATAAAACTCAGACGCATGAATGATGTTTAGAGAAAAAAAGCTAACGACGTAAAAAATAACTGCTTACAAATAAATGTTAACAAACCCTTCCTGCACCTATAATAAATAGTTAGATAAATTAGGTTTTATGTACTCTGCATTATGAGCAATACTATACACAATCACATATTTACATTTTCATTTGATTCCCCAATAATGAAACACAATCAGGATTAAGTTTAAAATATTCCCACATTTATATCATCCAATCTGACAAGGGTAGCTGGCAATAAATATGTGGGCTGTGAAACCGGCTATAAAAAAAACGATCTTTGAACTAATCCCTTCTATAATGTTTTTATATTCCACGCATTGAGGACTCATAGGTAAGCACAAGCGTTTACTATTTATATACAAAAGTCAATGGTAGCTGGGTAATTATATAGTGCCAAATATTAAATTATTAAATTTGGCAGTTAAAAACGGAGAGGTTTGAGACTTTAGTAAATTTAAACCTGAACCCAAATGGCTTTAGAAATGTTTGTTTACCATCCAATAAAAAAAAAAAAAACTTGATTGAATACAGAACTTGTAATGGTGTGCTACTAGTTTAGGCCCTAAGCTCATCATTATTTCATGTATAAATAAAAATACGCATCTAATGTGTTATTTTTGATAGCCAGTTAAGTTAGGAAGAACGCTTGGCGTTTTCAACCCATTATGAATTAAGAACGAACCTATGCGTAGTTTTGATAATGACCTAGTCGTCTCTATAGCAAGACTAATTATTTAAGTTCAATGATCAATGATAAAACCCCAACTACGTTCGCACCAATTCTATGAACGTGATTTTTGTACCTTAACCTTTTCATAGCTCCACAATGTAAAGCCTATTACTTCTTCCAAAGCCGCCGCACCAGGAACAGTGTGAGTTTCAACATTATATAACCTTGTTATACTCAGTTGTCTACAATTACACTGACACAGTGATCCGTACTTCTTTAATTATTCCATGCTCTGCCAGTTACCTAACTCCTTCACGACGTACGGTAGTAAGGGGTCACCAGGTCTGCTGCTACTCCACTACTCCACACAACTCCACAACTCCTGAACTCCTTTCGGACTTCAGCAGGTCCTTGCTCAACGGTATCCTTGACCGCAGACTTCATACACGATGTGAAAGTACTACCATCCTTATTAAGGTTTTGTCTAGTTGTTACTGTCCTAGGAAATGTCTTAGGATGCGGCCCACGTTCAAACAGGTTTAGCAGTTTCATGTATTTGTTTATAGATGTATTTAATTTGGTTAACGTTTCAAGTTTTTAAGCTCATTTTATATTCAAATATATTAATATGTCTAAAGATTAAAGTTTGGGATTGAAAAATAGTGATATCCATCCCGTAGGCTTGCACAATATTAAAATTTACAACTGTAGAATTTTTGGAACAAATATATATAATAAATATAACGATAAATAAATAAATATAATAAATACTCTTTGCTGACTAATCTTAAACAAAATAAATACATTTTAAATCATTTACTGGATGTTAATGACAAAATAACTATTAAAGAAAGAATTAAATCTTAAGAAATAAATCACAGATAACCCCATACTAACTCAAAACATACTGGGGAGCGAGCTGGCGTAGTGGCTAGAGCGCGGGACTTCGGTCCGTGAGGTCCCGGGTTCGATCCCCGCCAAGTCACCAATGGATTTATCCAAGTGATAATGCCGCAACCCCTAGGTCTAGCCTGAAGTAATGTGAAAAACAATCCCAGGCTCGTGCCTAGCGTCCTAGGAAAAAAAAAAAAACTCAAAACATACTGTAATTTAATTTCAGTCGTCTATGGAGATATGTAGTATTTGATTTATGTTAAGCAATTAATTACATTAATATTGACATTAAACATGTATACCTTTGAAGGTTTAGTAATTCACAATTTAAATTCAAGAATGTTATTTAAATTAGTTCACTGTTGGATAATCTAATACTCTGAAAACCCTTAACATTAAATCTCATGAAACTGATGTTGTTATTTTTAACTCAAAAGTAAATATTTTAAAAGATGAATATATATTGATGAATGATGTATTTGACAACGTTACAAGTCTTAAAGGATATATGTTAGTGAGGGTAAAGAAATTAAACCCATACAACTTTATCAAACATGCAAACTTTATTAATCTCTATCTACTTCTAAATATGTACAAAATATCTACACCTAGTACGACAACATCATTGACTCTTAATCTTCAACAATAAAATAAATACTACTACAATTAAAATTACATCAGGCAGTCATGTCTCAAACTATAATTTAAACTGTTTACTTTCATCATTTTCTGACTAATAACCAATGCATTCTATTTTCTTTGCAAATGCACTTTCCCTTTAGTAATTTACTACACACTAAAAGAATACAATTCAATGGGTGTAAAATTTATCACAAATAAATAAATTAAAAAATAATAGTCCTTTATTTCCCAGGTTTTGGGTAGTTGTACCCATTTCCTCCGCCACTACCTGCAAATAAAAATAAACTAAAATACAAATAGTCTTTAAACCAGTTTTATTTAACATAATCAGTTCAGTAGATGGTGTTCTAATACTTGTATGTAAAAATAAGTTAGAGCGAATAGTGTCCACTTAACAAATCATTTAGTCGAGTCAATATAGGCACTTGAGATAGAACAAATTCCAACAAATGGTTTTTCGACGGTTTTTGGTAGTAATAGGTGTAGAAAGTACCAGGAAAAAAGTCTACCAAAATCGGACAACCGGAAGTCGGGGTTTTCCAAGATGGCCGCCGCGAGGTACTCAAATCGACAAGATGACTGCAAATTCGTCGATTCATAGTTCCAGGATTGGCCGATTTCCACGAAAATTGGCAAACACATGTAGAACTATATTTCCAACCTTAAATATGAAAACTAGGCAGACAAAGTAACCCAAAGATGAATTTTCAGGGTATTATGTGCTAAAAAAAAAAATTTGTTTACCTCAAATATAGGTTTTTCTAATATTTTGTACAAAGTTTGTTATAATTTCAAATTTATTTTTTCACCATTAGATTCAACACAAAAATCCTAACAATTTAGTATATTGAATCTTTGTTCTGCTTCAATTTGTTACAGAGATATTGAAAGTAATAACTTTAGTATGTTTTCTTGCCGAGATAACTCAATGTTAATCTTATGGAGAATAAGCATAAATATTAATATTATTTTTCATTAAACCTATATAGATAAGACTTTTTTCTGCTTCATATTATCTGTTTTAATATTTTTTTTTACTAAAAATTCCTTTTTGGCAGTTACCATTGCAGCAAACCTACGTATTCGGTTCCTCAGTTTTAATCATAAAGAGAATAATAGAATGTTACCTTAAAAAATTGCAAGAAAACGTTTTATGGTTTTATTGTAGTGTTGGGTATGCAGAGTAACATAGTAAAAATTGCCAAAAATCGGTCTACTGGAAAACCCTTAGAATCAAGATTTAATATGACGGATTTTCTTAACATTGGAAAATAAATCTACATGCATTTTCATTGATATTGACTTCAGACCACCACCGATATTTATTGGGTGGTCATTTCTTCATTTCGACAGGGAACGTGTTTTCGGCCGTCATTTTGGATCCCCATAACGGATATAAATATTTTTTTTATGTAATGACAGTGTCATTTCAATAGGGAACGTGTTTTTGGCCGTCATCTTGGATCTGCCATATTGGATATAAATATTTTTTTAAAAGTAGGTAATGGCAATGTTGTGACACATTATTTTAAACTATATTTTCACGCCTATTCCATTGCCAAAATGAGTTTTTAAATATATTTTAGCGAATTTCCCATATATAGGGAATAAGCTATTACCGTAGTACTCATGGTAAGACCTGGACCCGAGACCGATTTAATTTTTCATTTTGAGGTCCCTAGAGGCCAAAAACACCATCCGTTCAAATTCATATATATATATATATATTTATATATATATTTGTATATATATTTATATATATATTTATATATATATATATATATATATATATATATATATATATATATATATATGTGTGTGTGTCCGTTAGCGCGATAACTCGAGCAAAAATGATCCGATTTTGATGAAATTTGGTACAAACGTGTAAACCTACGTTTATTCGAACGAGTTCGCGATCCAGCATAATCGGACCATGGGAAGGGGGGTAATGGGGGGTTTTATTGGGTAAAAATGGGGTTTTCCCATTTTTGAACTTAAAAACAAAAAATTTTGCGATTTCTTTCTAAACCGTTTTGTAGAGCTTAAAAAAAGAAATAATTTAGTATATTGAAGCGCTGTTGTATGCCTAACGGTCAAAGAGAAAATTCAAAAATAGTGCAATTAAAAATTCCCATGTTATTCTTATGGAGAAAATGAAAATTGTTGTAGTTTACTTGTTTATGGGTATATATTAATAAAATTTGGCAAATTTATTTATTTCATCCTATACTATTGACGTATGGTCAAAAAATACTTTTTACCTTCCCCGTAGCAGCAAACCTAAGTACTCGTTAAATCTAATGTTATTTAAATAGGGAATAATATGTCTTATTTATGGAAATATTTTCGTAAAAATGTAATCAAAGGAGTTGAAATTCGCTTAGTCTGCAGGTTTGCTGCGGCGGGGGTATTTTATTTTTAAAGATATATTCAAACGACAATTCTCCTGCATACATTTCTTAAGGACGTTTCGTATTTTGAACATTTTTAAAGATATTTTTTCTCATATCTCCAGTAGGCCTACATATTAACGCTTGCAGTTTGTTCTAGCCTTAAACATTTAGTAATGTAAGGGCTTACATTTGAGCTATTGAACATTAAAATCTGACGAGTTAGAGACTAGTTACCAACCCCAACAAAATATTAAATTTCACTTTTTAGAAATAAATTTTTATTAAAATATTTATATCTCGGGTTCGTAATACGCCACCAAGTTTTTTTCTGGTTTCAAATTACTCAGTAAATGTTTGGGTTAATTTGTTTAATCATTAAATAAAATGTGACAAATTTAATATGGGTCTGTCTTATTTAACAATAATTTTTTTTCGAGATTAGTCTTTAGCTTAAGACATATACCCCCAAATCGAAAAATAACTCCCAATACTCTTTATAATCCTAAAAGATTCATCAAAGTATTGACTTTTACTGAAGTTATGGATTATTTATTGGGAGTTATTACAATTGGGGATATATTTACTTAACTAAAGACAAATTTCAAATGCAAATAATTTAATATTAAATTAAGGTGCATGACTCATTTTTTTATTAATTAGTCAGATATTATTTAGTGACTAATAAAATAAAAACCCAATTCTCTACTGAGTAATTTGAGACAAGAAAGAACTTGGTGACGTATTAAGAACCCGATATAAAAATCATTTAAAAACTGATTTATAAAAAGTTAAATTTAATATTTTGTTGGGATTGGTATCTCGTCTCTAACTCGTCCAATTTTAATGATCAATGGCTCAAATGAAAGCCCTTACATCATTAATTATTTAAGAATGAACTACTAACTGAAGATAAGGAAAATAATAGTAAAAAATTTCAAAGTACAAAACGTTTAAAACAAAAAATGTATTTAAAAACGGATTTCGGCAATGGAATATGCGTGAAAATCTAGTATATATAGTTATAATGTGTCACAACACTGTCGTAACAACAACAAAAAATTATATCCAATAAGGTGGATCCAAAATGGCGGCCAAAATACGTTTCCCATCGAAATGAAGTACTGACCACCTAATAAATATCGATGTTGGTTCCAAGTCAATATTTAGAAAATTGTGCATAGAAAATGCTTATGGTATCTTTTTTTCAAAATCTGTCCAATGTTGGGAAAATCCGACTCTGCACACCCAAAACTACAACATAAAACCATAAAACGTTTTCTTGCAATTTTTTTAGGTAATATTCTATACTTCTCGGACTAATAAAAAAATTGATTATTGCTTATTCTCTTTATTATTAAAACTGAGGAACCGAATACGTAGGTTTGCTGCAATGGTAACTGCCGAAAAAGGAATTTTTAGTAAAAAACTATTAAAACAGATAATATGAAGCAGAAAAAAAGTCTTATCTGTATAGGTTTAATGAAAAATAATATTAATATTTATGCTTATTCTCCATAAGATTAACATTGAGCTATCTCGGCAAAATCTTTTTTTTTTAGCACATAATACCCTGAAAATTCATCTTTGGACTACTTTGGGTCTGCCTAGTTTTCATATTTAAGGTTGGAAATATAGTTTTACATGTGTTTGCCAATTTTCGTGGAAATCGGCCAATCCTGGAACTATGAATCGACGAATTTGCAGTCATCTTGTCGATTTGAGGGCCTACGGCGGCCATCTTGGAAAAACCCGACTTCCGGTTGTCCGATTTTGGTAGACTTTTTTCCTGGTACTTTCTACACCTATTACTACCAAAAACAGTCGAAAAACCATTTGTTGGAATTTGTTCTATCTTAGAGGCTTTTTAGGGCTAAATCGACTCGTCTAATTTGGTAAATCTAGCATCAGTAGAAAGAGTAAGGTTACTATGCCTTTGTACTAGCATCAAAACATATACACAAAATATCACATGATCACACTTAGATGTCATACTAACTTCACCAAATAAAAAAAAAAAAATAAATGTCCTAGTTTTGCATTCAGAATTTCGGTGGGGGTTTTCTGTTTGATATTATACTCCTGCTCTTTCTCAATGAACCTGTTATCACGCTTGGTAAAATTGTTAATTAATTTCGAAGAAAAGATTTACTTCTCCAAATTAATAAAGATACATCAAATTATAAACCTTTTTAATTTCTAACTATACGCCTTTTCAATTTTGGACGTTTTAAGAACTTCAAATTATGACTCTTTTTTATAAATACTACGATTGAAGATCGATTTTTATGAAACAAATCTAAATTAATTGGTGTGATAAGACCACATACCTGCCCCGCCTCCTCTTCCAACTCCACCGCCCCCGCCGAATCCACCGCCCCCAGCTCCACCTCCTCGACCTCCGGAAGTGCTCGCTGGATACGTGGGACCACCGCCTCCACCACCTCCCGAGAATCCACCGCCCCCCGCGCCACCTCCACCGCCGCCTCCGGAGTAACCTCCTCCACCTCCACCTCCTGAAAATATGTAATGATGTTATTGTGATTCATCATAGCAAAATTTAATAAATTTCACCAGAGGATCATTTGAAGTAATTAAGAGATAATAAGATAATTTAGAAAATAAAGAGTCACCGTATTACTATGGTTAGGTTTGGATAAGTCACGGTGGTACCATATGTTTTGAAACACAGTAGAAAGAACCTTCCAGTATTTAACTCATGTGCTGAACCTTGTAAGCTTTTTACAGTTAATGTAAAACACTATCTAAGAAACACTAACTTATACTAGGTTATTAAAGCTGTTGCTGAAATGTATTACAGCTTATGGGTTTTAGCCTCAGGCATAAAAAAGTGTTAGTACCGACTAAGATGTGATGATCATTTTGGCAGAACAAGTTAAAATAGTTGTCCAAAGAAACCTTAGGTTCAGGAAAGAATTTTCAAAATGGTTCTAGTGGCCTACGTCTTAAGACATAGCTATACGTATAAGTTGATTGATTAGGTTTGACACTTTTTCATCCCTTACAGTCAATTTTTTCGCTATCATTTTGTCGTTGTTCTAATGTAATTGATAATCCTATCTGAAAACCCCTTACCCAATTATCACACTAACAGTGTCCAAAACAATTGCATTGCAGTATTTTCTTTATACGAAAAATATTGGCTCTCAGTTATCATGAACCTATATATTGAGTCAGTAAAGATTACTAATAATTATTTTTCATTGTTCATAAATCAAGAGTTTCCTACCTTGTCCACCACCGGCAGCCTCTTCAGCAGCGTTCTGCTCCAAAGACTGCAGAATCTCTGGAGGTATGGGAGGTGCTGTAGGAAGATGGTCTCCCATAGCTACGAACCCGTTGGCGCCCGCCGTGTAAGTTATTGTAATCAACTTACCGTCAGGGCCTGGGGCAGGAAAACGGAAAATTATATACTGTTTGTAACATTACCAATGTCAGCAGAACAACTACTGTAATGTTCCTTTGGGACGAGATTAAAATAAAATTTATTACATTTTAAACTTAAGGGGGGGGGGACACTAATTTGCTAAACTTATTTTTGTCAGTACGACACATGGTTTTTTAATGATGAATTACTGTTTGGACAATTTATTAACTTAGCTGTTGAGTTGGTCTTAGTGTTAAGTTAAATATAATGCTTGTAAAGATAATTCTGTCAAGGGTTCCTCGCCGATGTTACAAGGCAAAGTATTAGTCGAACGTTATTATTACCAATCTTTGTTAAATATACTTGATTTTTTATATTATTTATATGTGAACGGACTTTTTATTTGAGTCATTTATTGTAAATCAAGAATGAAAGATTTATAATTATGGATTTGACGAGAAAAAAAAATCTAAACTAAGCAATAATCATTCTTTAAGGATATATTTGTATGCCAATTTTTGTTAAACTTGTTTATCGTCTACCATAAAACTTGATTACATTAAAATAGGAACTTGGTATGTGTACATAAGTATACTCATTAACATATTGTAATGACAATTTGATACTCCAATCTGAACATCTACATCTTCTTATCTAAATTCGTAATAAATTGTCACTATCAAGTTACCTTCATAACTGAAGCTCCCCTGAACTTCAGAACCCGGTCCTTCTTCTGCCTCAGCCTGCGAACCTTGCTCTTGAAATTTTATTCCGTTGCCACTCTCGTAGCTAAAACATTACAAGTTTTTTTATTTTTATATGTCGGTGATATATGTCTTAAATTTAATAATTTCCTATTACTAGCATAAAACTCAAAATTATTTCGGCAAAAATGTTTGAACTATTTTCAAATTTCTAAAACAGACACTTTTTTTTAAATTCTTTCAATTCTAATAAAATGTACTTAGAAAAATCTATGAACTCGGTGTTCGCAAAGAAAATTGTCCGTTATAGGAACCTTAAATGACAAGTAAGCTGCAAGGAATTTCAAAACGATTAAAGATTTTACGAATAAAACCTATTGGTGATTGGCAGGATTTTAATCCCGAACTCGGTCTCCTAAGCCCCATGCTCCCCCGCTAGACCATCTTGCTCCCCAAAAAGCAATATTTGTTTAATAATAAACTAAGTTACCTAAATGAGTATGATCCATCGCCCTTGTTGGGTTCGTTGGTTTGGGAGATGATTGGAATAACGTCCCCTCCCCCTCCACCACCACCTCCGCCACCACCGGCACCTGCTCCACCTCCAAATCCTCCTCCGCCCCCACGACCTCCTGAAGTGCTGGCTGGGAAGGCACCTCCTCCTCCACCTCCTCCGAAACCACCACCGGTGCCACCTCCGCCTCCAAATCCACCCCCACTTCCACCGCCTCCTCTTCCTCCTCCAGCTCCTCCGTAGCCGCCTCCTCCACGACCACCAGCCCCACCGCCACCCCCGAACGGCGCCGCTATGGCCCCCGGACTGCCCCCGGCACCACCGGCCCCGGCTGGAGGGAGGTAGTTATTGGACAGTTGTGCAGCGGTCGTCAGACCAACCGCTAACGATAACGCTAACTGAAACATAAAAATTCATGAAATTAAAGTTTAAAAATATTAATTTAAGCCTGCCTCAAAATTGTAAAAACGTTTGGCTGTTCCGCTCCTGATAAATTCAGTTTCAAAGGACAACTTAAAAAATGAGGTTAACGATTAAGTATAATGTTTAGTGGAAACCCCTTTTATTATGACTTCACCTAAACCAAATGAACCGTAAATTATTCATTCCTTTAGTACACTAAATTATTACTTTTTAAATAATTATCAAATATAACCGTTAAGGGTTACTTTACAGCTATCTGACTGACACCTTATGACCAGCATTCGTTTCTAAATGGTATTTAAGCTACCTTTGATTTTTGTCAGTTGCTTTTTTGTTCCTGAAGTTATTCAGTAGCCACTAGTGCGCATTTCACCATTATTGGAAATTCTCATAAATGACCACATAAAGATGCAATTTTCATCAGTACACTAACTAAACAACATCAAAGAAGAAAATTGACTAAAATAAAAAAACAAAAAAGTTAATTAATAAAAGGTTTTTTATAAAAGGTCTTAGTTAATTTCATTACTAGGAAATACTATAGTTTTAGAAAGAGGCGTGTCTGTATCTAAACATAATGTTTACTCTTCAAAACATATCAATTCTGTAACGTGAAAGTAATATAGTGTTCACTACTTATTCAGTTGTATCTTTGATATCTACAGTATAATAGAGCACTGTATCTCTGTTTGTATTTGGCAGTGATAAACTCAGGACACAGGACGCAGGACCGATGGTCACGAAATTTGGTACATACGTGTAGAATTTCATAGAAAAGAATAGGTACACGATCAATTATGAAATAACTCTCAGAGCTTAGCCCTGGGACGGACCTCTTAAAGGTACCCATGACAGGGATTTTGAAAGAATTTGAGTAAGATTTGTTTACTAACAACACACATGACAGTAAAATTTAAAACACCATTTAAATTAGTGGTATTTTTCGTTCTGCTATTTGATTGTATTTATTGAAAGAAGATTTGTTTTTTGGTGCCGTGTGGTTGATGAATTTGACTATTGCACAAATTTTAAATGCAATAAACTATTTAAAATTCTGGCATGTATTACGGTTTTCCAACTTTAAGTTGTAATATTTAGGCAGGTAAAACAGTTCGTCTAAGAAATGAATTTTTTTTAAATGACGTGTAAACATTTTAATATTCCTGGAAATAATTTGGATTTATCTTCATTAGTTTAAGCGTTAAATTCCGATTGAGCTTTGTTTCTACGACATCTGGTAAGTGTGTTGTAACTGTTTCTCTTGGTAGATTTTTAAAAACCGAATTATTCTGTCTTGTTTTCTTTCCCAATAGCAAAGCAAAGGCAGAGCAACTAGTATTATACCAATAGGTAAATTACAATCGATTTTATTAATGCGTAAGTTCAATTATCTTATTAATGACACCACACTATTTATCAAAGGAAAAAATTATAAATGGGAAAATAGCCGCAATGATTACAATTATATTCCTACTAGGCCTATGTTAGTGGGCCATAATACGGTATATGTTTATTCATAGTTAATAATATTAATTACAGATATTTTAATGCAATTTCATTTCAACGAAGGATCATAATTTTTTATTGCCATAATACATTTACGGTGGTAAGAAGAGCCATTTTTGATTTAGAATAAGTTATGCTAACCTAATGCAAACTGAAGTATTAATTTAACCAATTAATATATTATTCTTAAGGAATTCTCAAAATATAGAACATTTAAAATCACATTGCTAATATTTAACAACGTAAATAAAATTAAACCTCTTTTAATTTAAACAATTGAGTTGTATAGTCACTATGTTATATCAACGATAGTAGTGAAAATTCTCTCTTATTCCGTCGTTTGTAAATCTTTCCGACACTGTTTCAAACACTCATCTAACGAAATGCCTCTGTCTACCAAGTGAAAACCTACCCGCGTTAGCCTGTTGATTAAGTCTAGGCATTTCTTGTTAACTATAATGATTATCATTCAGAATAAAATTAAGGAATTATTAATAATATAATGTTAAACAATCATGTTTTTATAAATTATAGCTATAATTTATTTTAAATAATAAGTAGGCCTACCACTTGTTAATTTCCATATCGTTTATTTATTTTAAATCACATGTCTAAAATTGCGCTTTTTAATAAAAAAAAATGTAACAACCCCACGATTGAATATGTTTTTTATAAGTTAAAATGGTATCTATATTATTTTAATAGCTATTGATAATTGGTGGAAAACGGCTAACTGTAGTATAAAGGACGACACTTACCCAATGCATGTGTGTTATTGTGGTGAATGGGACCGTCCTCTGTTTATATACATTACCCCTGCAGTCCCCCTACCCTGGATTTTGCAACTGCACAGTGCACACAACGGTGACACTCTCCACTTTCACACAACTGATCAGCTGATTTAATTGATCAGCTGATGTCAAGGTCAACGAAGCCACCAGATGACTCCTGGATTCCACGAGGTGTTCGTCATTGGCGCCCTTTGTCGCGTCTATGATAATGACGAGCGTAAGCAATTTTCCCCAAAGATCCTTGGTGGGCACTAAAGTCACTGAGCCTCAAGATATGATACTTACAAGAAGACAAACACACATTTATTAGTCATCGGTTCAACCCCAAGAAAAGCTAGTAATTTTTTGATCGTGGAATCTGGTCCCTGTCCTTGATTATTTGTCAAAATTTGAATGAATAGTGTTAATAGCCTCTGGGGACATCAAAATGAAAAATTAAATCAATCCCGGGTCTAGGTCCTTGTCTTCCCCACGGTAATAGCTTTCTTCCCTAGAGAAAAATTAGCTACAGGCTTGCAAAATAGGTTAGGTCTGCGAAATTAGTCAAACCTAAATCTAGTTTAAATTATATTAGATTAGATTCAAATGACAATTATTATTCTTGTATTGTACAATAAACCGTAGTTCCCCCTGGATATAATAACATCAATTAGGCCATAGTTCTTATTCGAGCCTCAAGTAGTGCTCCAGGCACAAATTACCGAGACTTTTCAAGAATAAATAATTATTTTGGAGCAAATAACCATTTCGGCACCAAGATTGATTCTAGAAAAATAAAAAATCCAAGATATAACAGAGATCAGTCCTAGACAAATAACATATGCCAGGACATAACTGGGATTCTTTATAGATTAATAAAACATTCAAGGACGTGACAGGGATCAGCTCTAGACAAATGAAATATTCAAGGATGTAAAATGGATTGGTTATAGATTTGGGAAAAAACAGTCCAAGACATAACTGAATTCGTTTATGCACAAATTAAACATTCGTGGACGTAATCAGGATCGTCCCAGGCATGTTAAACATTTTAGTGCCATCCAGGATAAGTTTTAGACTTATTAAACATTCCAGGTCATGATCGAAATCGGTTTCAACGAAGTACGCGTACCCCGAAGTACCAGGATCGGTTCTAGACAAAGTAAACATTCCAGAACGTAACCAGGAGCTGTGGTGACGTCACGGAGATTGTGGACTGTCTTCGTGATCAAAGTGACATTTAAGACCAGGACCTTGATCCACCCTGTAACTCCTGCTAGGGCAAGCATACATGAGCTACATGCAGCTGTCTGGCGGCTGTATGGGTACGTTCACCTCACCACACCGCACACACTCACTGCTTTGTTTACGTTACCCAATGACGTTACTTTGTTGTGGTGAAAATATTCTCTTGGGATTGGTGTAAGATATTTTTCCAGGTACTTTCCAGGTTAAAGGGAACATTCATTATTATCGATGATTTTTTTCGATATATCGATATTTTTGTTTTCCGATCAGATCTATTACAAATTGACAACAACAACTAACTGATCTTGTTTAGGCTAAAATAGTCTATATGGATTAAGAAATGAAACTGTTCTAAGCTAACCTAACATAACCAACCAAACTTGCTGTACCATTTAAAACTTCCGTTTGGGTTTGATAATATTTTAAATTTTACAGCAAGTTTGGTTAGTTTTAGGTTATTTTTTTAACAGTTTCATATACTGAACAATATTTATCGTAGTTGTCAGCTGATATGTTTCAATTTGTTAATATCGATATATCGAAAAAAATCATCAATAATAATGAATGTTCCCTTTAACAGGAAAGTACCTTTTTCCATATAGGTGTCGATATATCAATGTAAAACGTTTAAGAATCCTCGATATGTTTTGTGTTGCACTCACACTTGTGGCTACGATTTAATAGCAAGTCTAAGGAGCATTGATATACTAAATGCGTAGTACCATTGACTATGAATCCTCATAGTCAATGGTAGTACCATACTCTAAACAATTTCATTTTGCTTTTTAAACCTTAGTTGTGCATTTAGGCGCTCTTTCTGAGAACATGCATTTAAGACCAACCTCTGTGCTTGGTTGTAGAATCCATCCTAAGGTATAGCTAAGACTAGTTAAACAACATTGTTAGTTACATTTGAGTTTAGTGCTTATAGACAAATCTCTTTACGTCTTGCGCATTCACTCCTACTTAACCCTCAACGTAAACAATTTACTAACTCTTCATATTAATAGTTATCCAATGCAAAAAATTTACTATATAAAAAGAGACACATTAATTCAATTTTATGTGTCAACCTTTTTCACAAGTAGCTATTCACTATTGGATAGGGGTTAGTCTTAATCTACAATCATTAAAACGTATTCGTAAAATGTTTCTTTAACTGTAACTACTAAGCATACATGTTGCTAACTATATAGGCATATTTTATTGTGTCCATGCGATTTTTAAGTTAAAAGCTGGTTTGGTATTTTTTTTATTCGTTGAAACCACAGGCATGAAGTTAAATTATAAAACAAATTTTAATTTTAATTTTTGTGCCGAACAACGGAGTAAAATACAAATAAAAAGTCGTCTTTTGCACAATCATGTCATAACTTCATTCCAAACATGACTGAGGCATCTGTGGAATATCGTTGTAAGAAATCATTCACTACATCAACTAAAGACAACTTTCATAAACATTTGTGAGAGAAAAACTGTATTCGTGTTTGCACTTTCTTCTTCTATTCCCAACAAAGGATAATGATGTAACGTCAACTTGCTGAAATGGAATGGAAAATGTTGAGGGCTTGGAACAGGTTTCTCAGGTCTGTTGGTATTCTAATTAGTCGACTTTTAGAATATCGAGCTCTAGGAAATCGATAGTGTGATGGAGCGAAGCCAAACTTTCGCAATCTAATAAGATTTTGGCAAGAAGAATGTGTAACCAGCTTTTACTATTACGAGTCAGATCTGTTCTAGATAAATAATTTTCTACCATTGGAATTTTACAAGCTTAATAAGGTCCCTGTTGAGACACTAAATTTACTTAAACATCCGCAATAATAATTCATTTATTATTAATTGTTACCCATATTTGTTGACTCCTGAAAAATCACTATATCTCTATAATAGGCTAAGATTGAGCCAGGGACACAATGCGGTGTATTTTATAATAGGATATTTTATAATAAGAGTGTATAAAATGAAGTTAATTGCTTTGTGCAGTTTTGATACTGATTGGGATTATCTATTCCTATTGCCAGAGCCATTTAGTTAGCCTAATGAGATTCTGATTATAAAAAGTTACTAATTTATCCCATTATCGGACATCTACCTTCTGCCTACTAGGCAATTAGCAATTTAGCTTCTCAGCGACAAAAGTATACAATTGTAGTGGACAGATTAATCTGAAGTTCACATTACAGCCAAACAATATGCTGCGAGTAAAGGTTTGTTACTTAGGTAATAAAGCTAGATTTTAAATGGTTTTTGCTTTGTTTTAATAGTGTTTAGTTGTTGCAACATATATTTTTTAGATATTTTCTATAGTTTGTTTTTCGGAAAGTAAGTCTTCAGCAATATCACTCTGGAGTCTCTGGAGTTTCTCTTGTTAAAATTTGAAAATCATTCAAACTTTTATGATTTTTCTTCACCTTTTTCTTATTTGAATAAATTACCTATTCACTACCAACTTTCATTTCCATATGTAGCTTTTTTGAGCAGAGCATTCTATTTTCTTGAAGCTGTTACTAAAATGCTTTGGAAGAAAATCTAACTCTAGTTTAAATTATGCTTATGCTAACAGTTATAAATTAAATAAATAATCATCTTTTAAAATTGTTATTGATGTAGAAGTGTATAACATTCATTATGGACAACTTCATGGTAAGGCGTATCTATGATATGCACAATGCTCAAAATTAGCTCATTGTTATCAACAAACCAAACACCTTTTTTATAATTTGTAATCGGTGTTAGATTGTCAGCTGATGTCAGCGTCCAGTGCAATCTAATCATGTTTAATCTCTGACTATCCCAGTTCGGTGTACAGTTATCAATGAAATCAACACAAATCTTTCACAATTGCGGTTGATTGGTATGGAAGTACGGTCTCCGCAAGAGAATGTTGACATGAGCAGTTACAGCTACAGCTGGGTAGATGGATAGCTGTGTCAGCTGTCTATACCTGACAAAGCCTTCACAAATCCTTCCAAGAACCGGTATCTGTGATTAAATATGGCATCGATAAAACAAAACCAATCATTCAGTAGAATCCTGATTGATAAGGGAACGACAGTGTTCAAATACATCTTTGCCACACCATAGTGATTTGGTTAACTGGATACAACCATGTAGAACTAAAGTTCGATAATATGATTCTATGAGATGTTATTAAAGAACTTTTGTCGTGAACTCGTACAACTTTCAAACCTAACTCTCTTGTGTTTAGTTAGTCTTTAGTTCTAGAATATCTGCTTATTTTAACATAAGTAAGGAGAAAATATTGTGATGTTTAAAATAAACTGTTTCGTTTTGTATTTAGGTTAAAAGCTAGTCTTATGACTATATTATTGGGAACTGGGATTGTTAATTAAACATACTAAACTTATAAGAGAGCATTTTTTTTCTGATACGCTTAAGGTGTTGACATAAAATATAGTAAAACTAAATTCAATATTTGTTATGCGTATCTGTCTCATCAAAATTATTAGTCCATTAGTCCATTACTACAATTAGTTACTTCAATTAGTCCATGTTATGACATTATTGATATATTTAAGGATGAAATTGTAGTGTATGTATAGTTAAGTATGATTTCCCTTAAGTTCAAAGAAACTTCACGTGACAGAGAGACAATTCGCTTTTAGGTTCTAGTTATATGTTTAAAAGATTATTATGTCGCTAAAAGTGATTGGAGATTATTGAAACTCGAACCAGGCCCTCCAGGATAAAAGTCCCACATTCTACCTTTAAAACTAGCTGAGACCAATTGTTACCATAATTGTTGTTATATTTAAATCATATTTTTTAGCTTCTCTTAAACTAAAACAATATTTATATTTTTATTTTTTGCTTATTGATCAACATTCGCCATTATTCCATTTTGAGAACACCAACGTACCAATGTGTTCTGTGATGCCAACGGCTATGTACGACACAACCACATAGTTTAGGACTGTTTAACGACCCTTGCTTCTACCAATTACTACCTAACGACTGCATGACTCACCTCAGAAGGCAGTGGTTGACCACTCGATGTGCAATGGTGGATGTTCATGGTGATCAGTGGGGCTTGAGGCAACGTTTGTATCTGAATCTGTAGCTAGGATGGGAAAGTAAAATAAGATTAATATTTTGTTTTGAATATATATAGTGCAATTGTTACCATAGAATGGTGTGTAGAGTGGTATAAAGACATTTAGAACTGTTGCATATTAGTTGCCTTGCTAAGCCAATTGTAAACAATGGTTAAATTAGTTGGGTACCAATCTGGATTCTGGACCCTGCATGGCCAGCCAACCAGCCAAAATCCAACCGCAGAGTCGTGATCAGTGTATTCTGTTAAATGCTTTACTTTACATAAGTATGGAGTGCGGGAACTGAATTAGATAGCGGATCTAAACCAGACCAGATATTAGTTCTTATGTAAGCCACGATACGAAATTAATATAGTGGAGTTATGATTAATAATGATTATACAATAATTTAACAATGATTAACAACTACCATTGTTGATCGAATAATTTAAAAAGCGGTTAATAGAGAAAAGCTTCTAGTTGAAAACTAAAAGTTGGCATTCTTTTTCAGTACACTTTGACGTTCTCAAATTTAGTTACCTATTTATTTTAACTATCTATTGATAATTATTTTGTAATTATTTAGTAGTAACTTAGCTCCTTAAGAATTTCGGGCCAAGATATTAATCAACACCCTCGTCAAGGGCTCTCTATATCTACTTAAAATTCAGGAAGGTTTAACAATAGCCAATACGAAAATCTCTTTATTTATTTGCTATTTAACAATCCATAGTTTCTCAGTGAGTACACTGCCAAATAAAACCTGCTACCATGAGATTTTAAAAATCGCCAAATTGTCGATATTCTGAGAGGATCTTCAAACTGATCGTTTAAAACTGGTGTCTTCTGTATGTATATTTCATATTTTGTTACGAGAATGTAAGTTGGTGCAAACAACTGTTATCCCTTATTTTAGGGAGAATTTTACAGCTTTGTTTTAAATTTTTATTGTAATACTCGGGGTAAGTAGCAATTTAAAAGCCGGTCGTTTACCCAATAAATTAACAAGAAATTGTAAGCATAGTACCACTTTGTAGCTACCGGATAGGAACAAACCTTAAATCCCCTACAATAAATAGCCAACCTGGTTATTAACGTTAAATTTATGTCTATGAAGATGACATATCTAAAGGCAGTGAGATTCATCAACGACAATACCTATAATAAAAAAATAATATTTTATTAGGTAACTGGAAGTCATTACGTTTAGGTACTCTGTAGCAGCGTTCCTGCATTTCATTACCCTGATAATAGCTGGTCTCTTAAAGAGGCATACTGTGTATGGAGCAGTCCGTGCTAAATAGCAACATCAAGATACCATCTGCTTGTTTAGAGGCTTACATTTTCTCTGCTTATTTGGGCTTTCCTCGTCATAGCCAAGACTCATCATCATTGCACTCTCACTCATTCAAAAATGCGAATTGTATTTTTTCTATGTGAACCAAAACACAAAAAAGATAGTATTTGATATAATTTTGACCGTAAATCCTACTTCAATAATGCGTGTTTCACAGTTGGCCTATTTTGTATCTGAAACTATAAACATAAACCATCAAATGAGTAACCATATCGTCAACTAGATGTAGTAATGCAGTAAAAGTATTACTAGTTAAACAGGTCAACTAATGGGAGCAAATTTTCTCACTTAATTTTCTTATAGGAGTAGGTTAGGAGTAGTTAGAAATTGAAAGACAAATATATGGCTAATATTAGTAGGCTTGTATATTTGTTATTCAGTGTGTTTAGGAGTTTAATGATTAAAACTTGCCAGCAGGGTATTTTATGAAGCCCTCTTTATAACGGGTGACTTATAACTTTGTGGAAACTTAAGACTGTATACCAGACATACACGACTATTATATTAAACTATAAAATATTAACCATGTAACTAACTATACTAAAACTATACATTACTATGTTAATCTTCAGATATGAAAGTGACGTAGATAAATTGAGTGAGCAATTGTTACTGTTGTGTAAATGCACGCATGACTTGTGCAGAGTTCATACGCTGACTTAAATTGACCACGCCAAACAGAAGATTCTGATAATTATTGTGGACAATAGCATCATTTAATGTAAATTAACTACACCAGTAACAATAACCAACAGAGGAAATATAGTGTTGACAGTAGCACATTTTGTGAGTAGCTCATTCCACTACTGTATGTACTTTTAATAGATTTTAAATGTATGGTATCAAAATTTCAATGGCTAAATCATCAGTAAAATATAGGCAAATAGAACCTAAAAATAGTACAATAACGGCTATTTAAATACTCTTACTTTTGAACTACATTTTTATGAACAATATTTTACAATATTTATGATTATTTTAATAATTTTATTTTAATAATAGTATTTCGTTTGATGTGTCCATACACCAGTACAGTGCGGAGGTGTGTAGGTCACTGACATTTCTCACACTACACGCCGAGCCGTCACGTCTACCAGCTTATACAGCATCAATCATCGGTCTGCACTTAACTCTCCGACTCTCTGACGCGTCTTCCAACTCGTTCACTTCCTCCATTACTATATCAGACAGAGTGAATTAATGTTAGATATTATTCTACAAATTGTATTTTTAAGTAAGCATTCGGAATATTTGTAATAATTTGAAGTGCATTTTATAAAAAGAGGAAAACCTTAAGAATTTTGAACAAATTTACACAATTTTTAACACATACATCCCATAAGAGCAAAAATATTAAATTTAATTATATAACATTATGGTCAGAAGTAAATTCGCTGTGACTTTTGTGGTTATAAATTAGTAAGCTTCACTAATGACAAGGTTTGATTAAGCATCAACTAAAAAAATAAAAAAATAAAAAGATTTGGGAGCTGGTTAATAAATACGTTAAATTGTAAGAAATTGAATTTAACACTTTAAAACACAGTTTTTTTCTGGTAAATGTTTATATATTTAGCCAATAGTTTACTACAATAATAAACTTAAGTATGCTTTAATATCTTTAACATTAATTTATAAGGTCTTTCAAAATGTTAGGGAATATTTTTCGGATTTGCAGAATATTTTTCACATACTAGACTAATTTCAATTAGATAAAAACCTTGACACTAATGTAATAATAGATGTGTGGCTTCGTATTCAAATACGTATATATCAAACTACCCTTTAGTTTTACCGCGCCATCCCGGAAGCCAAATGACTAAGTTTTGACACCTAGAACACTTGACGTTTTGAAAGGTCATAATGAATTGACATGTTGGCAACGTGAGTGTAATTTAATTACAGATAACACGTGCGAGGACAGGTGACAAGAATGTAGATGGCACTGACACAGCCTTCATGATCGCATCCCTGGAGGAGAGGGGAAGAGCCACAGCCTTCTCGAGCATTTATCTAGGAGCGCCGTTGACAACAGGGCTGACATACCTAATGATAGGCGGCGCTTTTGATAACTAGGAAATATAATTACCTTAAACATCTTTTGTGCGGCTCTTGAAAGCTGATGAGCATAATATCAGTGGAATATGCGGTAAATGATACGAAGAGTTATAAGAAATCAAGGAAGATATTCTTTCTATTTGTGTTTCTTTACTTATGACACTTCGTATTAAAACGCAAAGGATTGTTGTTCGTCAGAAACCTTACTTGTCCCTGAAGAGTGAAGAATCACTTACTTTATTCACTATGTGTGTTTCAAAGCCATTATTTGGAGTTTTACGTTTTTTTCCTCTTATATGTTGTCGCCAGACATTTCATAATCTGGCCAAAATGGCCCATTGACCAGTTCATGTTTAATGGAGATGATGCTGCCCCAATTTGCTGTTGAGTGGGAAGGGCTTGCTGTTTTATCAAATAATTCCCCAATTAAAATGCAAGAAAAGCTGTACAACCGGTCCCTGCGAAATTCGAACCCATCGTGTGAGAACGCACCTTTTATTGGTCAGGGAAAGTACTATGCCAAGATTTGTTATGGATCCACTTTAGCATAAGCTTAAGACTTTAACATAACTTGGGGAGTGAGCTTGTCTAGTGGTAGAGCGCGGGACTTTGGTCCCTGAGGTCCCGGGTTCAAATCCAACCAAATCACCAATGGATTTTATATAAGTGATAACGCCACAACCCCCGGCTCCCCCCCTCAGGCATCCCGGGCTCTTGCCTAGAACAATAATTAAAAAACACCTAGATTAGAAACAAAATTGTAACTATTTGTAGAAATTTGCTATTTTTTTCAAGAGTGTGTGGATGCTGTAGTTAGTAACTTTAGATATACACAAATTTATTTAATACTATTCTGTGTTCCTCTTTTTTTATTTTTTATTTTTATTAACAAGTTCGAAAAATAAAAAAGGTAAATTTAATGTGTTGGTTGTTTATTCCTAAAAGTGAAAATTAACAATTTTACACAATTTTTAGTTATTAATTTAAACAGATTTATGTTACTTGGGGCCATTCGTTCTTTACTATTATTTAGTTGAATTTTGAAATGTAGTACATTAAATTTCAATAAAGAGTTTTGAAAAACTGTACTAAAACTGGCCCTAATTCATACACGTTTTTCAACCAACCATAGTAAATTAATAAATTGGTACTGGTAATTTATACATCCAAAAACTAATTAAGATATTAGGTGTAGAAATTAATACTTCTTATTCTCAGCAGTTCACATATACTGCAATATCTTTCCAACACAAAAATACATCATGTAGTTGACTGTTAATCAATCCTTATCAAAATTCTTTTTAGTTAATCATGAATTTGATAAATTAATTGTTTTACACAACTTTTTAAACATACCGGTAGCATACTATTTACTCTTTGCGTACACACTCTGCACCAAATCTTCAACTCGAATGGCCTATTGCATAATACATACCGTAACATACACTTTGCACGGATACAAGGTGGACGATGGTGAAAGGTTGTACTGGCCACATGAATAATTGAAACTGATCGGTCAAGAAAAGAGTGATGCAGTTTGTAATAACACGGGGTTAGTTTATGTAAACCTTACGACATTTAGTGTGATCTTCTTTAAAAAGCACTTCAAGCGTTTTATATGAAAACAATATTTACTATAGTTTTTAGGTCAATAAAATTCAGTCATACTCTGTAAAAAGATAACACAGTTGGAGAAACAATTAATGAACACTAAGAGACTTGGGACTATAATTCAAGTTTGCCTGTATGGTAGTTAAATATTTTAATACTTTACTTTTAATACTTTTCAATGATATGACGACCATACAAAGTAGGTATTTTAAGCCAAGTATGAATGGAGATTAGTGTAGGATGAATAGCGCGATCTTGTAGTCTTGTATATCTTGACTAAGGCCGACATATTCCTTAGACAATGCTGTTAATTAATAGCCCATACAGCTATTGGCAACTAAGGGACCTACAGTTTATAGTGGAACCCGAACCACATTTTTGCCTTGGTATTAACGAATAAGTCTAATTGTCAGGATAATACTGCGGATAGTCGTAGTACTCACTAGTGCGGACGTTAATCCACCACAGGGATTATCGTATCCACAGTGCATACCTATAAATATCCACAATTCGTGACCTCCTAGTAGCTGGATTACAGGACGACGCCACCGTCCCAATCACATTACGTTATGATATCATTAAACCTTAATGAAACTGTCTAGTATGTAACAAAACACAAAAGAATTAACTTTACTTATGGAGTACTAGCTGTTGTACCCGTGCTTTGCAACGGGAAGATGACACAAAATAGAAACATTTTAATCTTTACATCTGTTGCATATAATAGTTACACATCCCCCAACGATTTTAGAAACAAAATCAACTTTTATGGCCCTAATAGAAACGTTTAAGTTATGACTTTTAAATCTGGTAAGCAGTGGATACCACCATTTCATCTCCCCTAATAACATATTTTTTTATTTATTATTGACATTTTAAATTTCAATTTTGAAGTTACTACTAATTATTAAATTTATATGATCATTTTTTTTAAATGTCACTCTTTTTTATATTAAACTAGCAGAGTACCCGTCCTTCGTACGGGGTTGGCATATAAGTATCAAATGCTTATAGCAGTTATGAGTGAGGACATGGTTTAAGAAATTTCGGTTCTTTTTGAAGTTCGTTCGCTACGCTCACTCACCTTTAGGTTGGAGCTCGTTCGCTGCGCTCACTTTCCTTCAGGTTAGCTCGTTCGCTACGCTCACTTGCCTTCAGGTTAGCTCGTTCGCTACGCTCACTCGCCTCCAGGTTGAAGTTCGTTCGCTACGCTCACTCACCTTTTGCTGTTGTCATAAATGTAAAAGAAATAATAGTGCTAGTGCTGCACCCTGTTGGTAATCCTTGTAACTTTTATTGCTATTGAACATCATAGAACAGAACCAACTTGTTTAATTGAAACAGCTGTTAAGATTCATTAATTCCATTTCTCATAAGGTTAACATGGGAAACTCCAGAGCCACTGGGGCGGAGCCCCGAAGGATTTTTGGGATAAAAATATGCCTATATGTTAATCGGGAATGTGAGCTATCATCATGCCAAATTTCAGCCCGATCCGACCAGTAGTTTTTGAGATTAGCTCATACAAACACACACACAGACACCACCTCTTCTTTATACAGTAATAGTATAGATAGATAGATCACAAATCCCTCAATCTTCTGTTTCTTCACTCACAAGAAATCATTAGCAAAATTAAGTCAGCTGTTATAAACTTTAGAAATATTGCTATGCCTTTTCAATACTGTCTTTTAAATATTAAAGAAACTATATCTATAGGTTCTATAACAAATTTTAAACAAATAATTTAGCATTAAAGACAGCAGACAAAACTAATATGATTATCAAAGCATCAAGGCCTAAACAATTTAACAGCAAATACATTATATGTTTCATTGCATCTCTGATTCTACTCTACAAAAATATCAACAAACAACGTAATATAAAAACCAGTTCTTTTAATCAGTTCCATCGTCCATTGGCTTTACATTTTCACACTTACCATAAAGTAAACATAGTAACAGATATTTAATTGATTTTAGAAACAAAAGAACACTTTGTACGGCTTAGTTTTAAGATATTTTCCTTGGTTTAATTCAGTGGTGTGGCAAAACACAAATAATAAATGTATCAAATAAAGTAAATGTGAACTGAAAGCTATGTTAAGATAAAATAAGAGTATTTTGTATTACCATTTGATAATTAATTATAGTTACGCATATACAACAGATAAAAAAAATCAACACAGTACAATTTAGTTATTGATGATATTCTTTAGTTTAATTTATGCATAGGTTTAGCAATACACAATAACTTAATTTACCTAAATATACATATAAAAAACAATGTGATGTGCAAGTTATGTTAAGTTAATCTAACACATGTTAAGGAGTTAGAATTTATTTAAAGTAGCCTCCAAATTCATATAAAACATCTATACATTGTAATTTAAATACTGTTTCTATGAAATCATATTATAATAGCATTATTTTCATAACTTAGACGCTTAAAAAAAAATCCAAAGCAGAGCCGGAGTTGATACAGCAACGGTTATAGAATCTTTTTTTTATAATAATCATTGACATAGTTTTAGAATAAATAAGCCATGATAAAAGTTTAGATTAAAATAAACCTACCTCATAGTTATGGAATATATTATATTTAATTTCTTTGTATCAGCTGTCTGAAATTGTGAAATATGCAGTTTAGCAAGTTCTTCTTGTTTACATTTAAATGTCAAAGCAAATGTAAACAAACATTGTTAAGTGTTCTCATCGCAGCCATGGAGACCAATCAATATTTACTTTTAAAATCTTCACCTCACAACTTTTAAAGCCAGAGGGGCAAAGCCTACGGTCAGTATCGAAATGTGAATAGTCCTATAATGGTCCTTGGTACGGTAGCTATATTTTTGTAAAATTTTTGTCCAGTTTGTACAGTGGTTTTTGCACCTATTAGTAATACACATACAGACAGACACCATTAGATTTTTATATCATAGTATAGATATACTATCTTTCCCTTTGTGATAGCACAGCATCCCAATGGTTTGGATTCCACATTTAGATAATAGTCTAACCATTTAAAATACCCTTAAAAAGACGGTTTTTAAGGCGAGGGTGACTTTATATATTTTGACAATCTCCCTCCACATAAAGCTTTTTCTTTAGCTTTATCACCTACAACAAACTGTTTTACAGAATAGGCCTACTATTGTTCATTAGGCCTATTCCATCGAAGAAAATGTCTTTAACCTCTGTAAGAAACTGAGCGCATTGTTAACATTTTGTCCCCTAAAGGACACGATAGTAGTGTATGACCTTGGAATCCTAACTACTAGTATTGACAGTTTTATTCAATACAGCTGTTTTGCGTTATACCATCACTACTATTTTGTAAC